TTACTGTAGTATGCCTACTCTATACAAAACACAGGGCTATATGTATTACTGTAGTAGGTCTACTCTATACAAAACACAGGGCTCTATGTATTACTGTAGTAGGTCTACTGTATACAAAACACAGGGCTCTATGTATTACTGTAGTAGGTCTACTGTATACAAAACACAGGGCTCTATGTATTACTGTAGTAGGTCTACTGTATACAAAACACAGGGCTCTATGTATTACTGTAGTAGGCCTACTCTATACAAAACACAGGGCTCTATGTATTACTGTAGTAGGTCTACTGTGTAAAAAACACAGGGCTCTATGTATTACTGTAGTAGTCCTATTGTATACAAAACACAGGGCTCTATGTATTACTGTAGTAGGTCTACTGTATACAAAACACAGGGCTCTATGTATTACTGTAGTAGGTCTACTCTATACAAAACACAGGGCTCTATGTATTACTGTAGTAGGTCTACTTTATACAAAACACAGGGCTCTATGTATTACTGTAGTATGCCTACTCTATACAAAACACAGGGCTCTATGTATTACTGTAGTAGGTCTACTCTATACAAAACACAGGGCTCTATGTATTACTGTAGTAGGTCTACTCTATACAAAACACAGGGCTCTATGTATTACTGTAGTATGCCTACTCTATACAAAACACAGGGCTCTATGTATTACTGTAGTATGCCTACTCTATACAAAACACAGGGCTATATGTATTACTGTAGTAGGTCACTCTTAACAAAACAGCAGGGCTCTATGTATTACTGTAGTAGGTCTACTGTATACAAAACACAGGGCTCTATGTATTACTGTAGTAGGTCTACTGTATACAAAACACAGGGCTCTATGTATTACTGTAGTAGGTCTACTGTATACAAAACACAGGGCTCTATGTATTACTGTAGTAGGTCTACTGTATACAAAACAGGGCTCTATGTATTACTGTAGTAGGTCTACTTACATACAAACCACAGGGCTCTATGTATGACTGTCGTCGGTATACTCTCTGTACAAAACCCACGGGCTCTATGTATTACTGTAGTATGTCCTAGTCTATACAAAACACAGTGGCTCTATGTATTACTGTAGTAGGTCTACTCTATACAAAACACAGTGCTCTATGGATTACTGTAGTAGGGTCTACTTTTATACCAAACACAGGGGCTCTATGTATTACTGTAGTATGTCCTACTCTATACAAACACCAGGGCTCTATGTATTACTGTAGTAGGCCTACTTTCATTACAAAACACAGTGGCTCTATGTATTACTGTAGTAGGCCTACTCTATACAAAACACAGGGCTCTATGTATTACTGTAGTAGGCCTACTCTATACAAAACACAGGGCTCTGTTTTACTGTAGTAGGTCTACTGTATACAAAACACAGGGCTCTATGTTTTACTGTAGTAGGTCTACTGTATACAAAACACAGGGCTCTATGTATTACTGTAGTAGTCCTATTGTATACAAAACACAGGGCTCTATGTATTACTGTAGTAGGTCTACTGTATATAAAACACAGGGCTCTATGTATTACTGTAGTAGGTCGACTGTAGACAAAACGCAGGGCTCTCTGTATTACTGTAGTAGGTCGACTGTATACAAAACACAGGGCTCTATGTATTACTGTAGTAGGTCTACTCTATACAAAACACAGGGCTCTATGTATTACTGTAGTAGGTCTACTCTATACAAAACACAGGGCTCTATGTATTACTGTAGTAGGTCTACTTTATACAAAACACAGGGCTCTATGTATTACTGTAGTAGGTCTACTGTATACAAAACACGGGGCTCTATGTATTACTGTAGTAGGCCTACTCTATACAAAACACAGTGCTCTATATATTACTGTAGTAGGCCTACTCTATACAAAACACAGGGCTCTGTGTATTACTGTAGTAGGTCTACTCTATACAAATCACAGTGCTCTATGTATTACGTAGTAGGCCTACTCTATCAAACACAGGGCTCTATGAACTGTAGTAGGCCCTCTAACAAAATACGGGCTCTGTTTACTCTATGTCTATGTATACAAAAACAAGGCTCTATGTATTACTGTATAGGTCATGTATACAAAACACAGGGCTCATGATTACTGTAGTAGGTCGACTGTATACAAAACAGTGCTCTATGTATTACTGTAGTAGGTCGACTGTATACAAAACACAGTGCTCTATGTATTACGAGTAGGTCGACTGTATACAAAACACAGGGCTCTATGTATTACTGTAGTAGGTCTACTCTATACAAAACACAGGGCTCTATGTATTACTGTAGTAGGTCTACTCTATACAAAACACAGGGCTCTATGTATTACTGTAGTAGTCCTATTGTATACAGATTGCCATTTTACTCCGGTTCTTCTTAATGTTATGAAGATAAATCTTCATAGTAACATTTATAATGTTTGTAACATTAGCCATGTTTTGTATCCTGTTCTTGTAATAAAAGTAATTTCAGAACCAAATGAAGAAGAACAAACATTCTAAAGGTATTTTATAATTGTTTTCTAAGGTTTGTCTTTCTCCCATTCTTGTTTGTTTCAGCCATGGCCATCAGTGACCCGTTCTTCAGCGGTAACCAGTCATCTTGGATGTCTTTCCCTCCAGTCAGCATCAGACACAGGACAGACCTCAGGCTGCAGTTCCAGACTCTGTCACCAGAGGGCATCCTATTCTACACAGCACAGCACCTCAGTGCCCGGGCCCGTAGGAACACACCCAATGACCGTTCTATCCCTCTACACTGCTCTGTTTTCATGTCATTTGTGGATAATAGAAATGATGTGCTAATAAGATAAATACATTCAGAATGACAACAATAATGACCATCGTGTCCCTCTCTTGTCATGTCATTCACAGGAGACTTCTTCTGTGTGTCTCTGACATCGGGGTTCGTCCAGCTGCGTTACAACCTGGGTTCTGGGACCAAGGTGCTACAGTCCACTAACAGAGTGGACACCAGCGGAGGGACCTGGCACACGGTACCATGTTCTTACATCTTTACAGAACAGACACTAACATTTCAGCAGCTTTTGTTGCTAAAAACACATCAGATATTTACAGGATCTGGCTAAATAATTAGAAAACACACACACACACACACACACACAATATTTTCTGTAAAAGTTTGATGTTTTTATCATTCCAGGTGAGGGCAGGCAGGAAGGGCCACCAGGGGTACCTGGTTCTGGACGGGTTGGAGGTGAAGCAGAACGACACCGAGGGAGGGATGTCCACTCTGGACGTGGCCACGGACCTCTTCGTCGGCGGGGTGTCCGACCTGAGCTCCATCTCTACTTTCGCCGTTGAGAACGAGCCTGTGGGCTTTACCGGCGGCGTGAGAGAGCTCGTCTTAAACGGACTTGACTTTGACCTGACGGAGACAGGGGCCCTGGGAGGGGCCAACGTGGGCGACTGGGACGGGACGGCGTGCGGGTACAAGGTGTGCCAGAACGGTGGCCGCTGTAGTGCGTTGAGCGGCGTCGATTCGGACACGTTTACGTGCACCTGCTCTCCGCTGTGGACGGGCCCTGTGTGTAACCAGTCGGTGTATTGTGTCAATAACCTGTGCCAACATGAGTCATTGTGTTTCTCTACTCTTGTGACTGGCTCATACGACTGTTTCTGTCCTCTCGGGTGGGAGGGGAGGTACTGCGATAAGCAGGTAGGCCTATCCATGACCACTCTGAAGTTCGTTGGGAAATCTTATCTGAAATACAGGGATCCTAAATTCAACACAAGGAATCTGAGGTACACGCAGGTTTCATTTAACTTTACAGCAAGAGGGAACGAAGGGTTGATTCTGTGGATGGGAAGAGCGGAGCACGATGATGATGATTACCTGGCCGTCGGGCTTCAGGCCGGCCACCTCAACATCGCAGTCAACCTCGGAGAGAGGCTCTCCCTCCCGCTCACCTTCAGAAACGTCACGTTGTGTTGCGACAAATGGCATTATTTATCTATCTCTCTGAACAGTACCCTTATTCAGGTGTTCCTGGGTGACGAGAGGGTCCTCTTCGAAGACGTGGACCCCTTCGAGCGTTACGTTGCCATGAATTACGGGGGTCTGTTGTACTTTGGGGGGTTCGAGTTGCACAGGAACATCTCAACAGTGACGTCTGGGCTGTTTACCAAAGGGTTTGCGGGAGATCTTAAAGATGTGCGTTTGTATCAGGACCCCAGACAACTGCAGTTCCTCCAGAACAGCGAAGGATTTAATGTCTACAAAAGTAATGAGTAGTTCTGTAACTTGTGAAAATGGGTGATTTAGTGTGTTGTGATAAAGAAATTCAGATCATTGGTTTGTAGATTGTAATAATGGAGGTTCTTTATATACCATCTGTGTCTGGTATGGCAATCTGAGTCATATTCATTAGGCACCAAATGGAAAAAAAACACTAAAACAGGGAGGATAATTACCTGGACTTGTTAATAAGTAACGCTTTGTGTTGTTTTTTTATCATCCACTGCGTGCCCTGATGAACGCAACCGTGTTGAAACTGCCAACTCCTCAGTAGATGGTTTATACACTGAGTATACCAAACATTAAGAACACCTTCCTAATATTGAGTTGCACCCCTCCCTTTTTCCCCTCAGAACAGCCTAAGCTCGTCGGGACATGGACTCTACAAGTTGTCGAAAGCGTTCCACAGGGATGCTGGCCCCATGTTAACTCCAATGCTTCCCAAAGTTGTGTCAAGTTGGCTGGTTGTCCTTTGGGTGGTGGACCATTCTTTATACACATGGGAAACTGTTGAGTGTGAAAAACCCAGCAGCATTGCAGTTCTTGACACACTCAAACCAGTGTGCCTGGCACCTACTACCATACCCCGTTCAAAGGCACTTAAATATTTTGTCTTGCCCATTCACCCTCTGAATGGCACACCCGTCTCCTCCCCTTCATCTACACTGATTGAAGTGACATCAATAAGGAATCATAGCTTTCGCCTAGATTCACCTGGCCAGTCATGGTATGTCATGGAAAGAGCAGGTGTTCTTAATGTTTTGTATACTTAGTGTAAGTCTTTCTTTGATTAAAATATACATTCCTCCCTTAAAGAGGACCTCTTTCTTCTCAACAATAAAAAGATCACCTTTATTACCAGCTGTACATGAACACAGTGCAGAAGGCACAATTGATTTTCTAATGTACATGACAAGCCAAAATGTACATAGACGATAATTGTCGATAGAAATAATGAATAGAAAAAAAACATTTTCTGTATAGTAGTTGTAAAAAAATAAAAATGGAAAAACCAGAACAAGAGAAGCTGCTTTAATTCAAATGTTTTTTTGTTTTCTGCTACTCAAATGGTTAGTTCGTTCTCTCTCCCCGCTGTATTACATTCATGTCAAACTGCTGAAGTCGCCAGAGCTTTCCCTCCATCTCTACTCCAACAGTCCATCTGGGTAGGCCTGTTATTGTGTTTCATGCTATAGAAAACATTCAAGTAATAGTTCAGCGATTTGACATATTAAGATTTGTTTCCTTACCCTGAAAGCCGTCTATGGACAAGGGGAGTGCCTACAATCCACACTATTAGCATTTGGGGATCATTTCCCTGTCTAAGTAAATCTCCCCTGTTTCATGTGTTAAATGTCATGTCCAAATCATTGCTGCCTCCTTGTCCATAGACTGCTTTAAAAGGTATGGAAACATATCTAAAATCATTGAACTATCCCTTTAACCACTTGTGATCCATATCAGAGCACATAATGCTCAGTGCACCAAGTCACAATGTGACACGCAGAATACAGAAATATACAATAAAATTAACACTTAAAAAACGGGAGATTTTCAAAACTTGAAATTTCACCTCAAAGCCTTATCGGTTGGTTTTTAAGAAAGCAGATTTCTGAATGTGTGTTAATAATCCTACTGAAAGTTTTGACCTCTACTGTATTGTAAATAGAACTGTGTTAAAAAGAACATATATAAAAGGGACAGTGGCACTAAAACTGTTGTGGGGTAGACTGTCTCAGGGTGGGTAGGGGTAGTACAGAAAAACTCATTAGTGACTGTCTTTGGAACTTCTCCTGGATTTCTCATAATCAGAGTCTCTCCTGCTGTGTTTGTGATGGTTCCCGTGGTCACCGTCGCTATGGTGCCGTTCTTTCCTCCTGTCACCGTGGCGCTCGTCTTTAGAGTGGTGCCGGCTCCCTCTGTGGTGAGAAGAAGAGTCTTTACTCCGGTCTCGCTCTCTGCTCCGGCTTCTATCCCGTTTCTTTCCCCTCTCCCGGCTGTGGTTCCGGCTCTTCTCTCCGTGACGGGACTCACTGTGGTTCCGGTGACGGTACTGGTCCCGGTCCTCCTTCTTGTGGCCCGACCCGGGCTGCCTGTCCCAGGGGTCGCTGTACAGAAGCCTCTCTGCTGCCCCCTTCTGGTCCTCTTTGGCAGCGGCGGATGGGGGCAGGTTCAGGTTGGGATTGGACGACTCAGCGGAGGCAAACCTCTGAGGGTCACCACCGTAAGCTAACGGTAGCCCCCCAGGAAAAGAGTTGGGAGACGTGGGACCGGGACCAGGTTGAGCCCACTGTGTGATTCCAGCGTGATTCTGCATCTGAGGTGGTGGGTACATCATAGGTGGTGGGGGGCCAGTAGGGTAGCTGAAGTTGGTGGGTAGCTGGGGCGGGTGCTGGAAAGGTGGCGGTGCGGTGTTACCGAAGGGGGGGATAGGTGGTGGTGGCTGGTACTGGAAGTCTACAGGAGGTCCTCCAGTCTGGGGGGGGATGGGACCATAGGGACCAGCCTGTAGTGGGCCATGGTCTGGAGGTGGGGGGTGTCTGTAGTGGTGGGAAGGGTATCCGTGTTGAGCTGCCATAGGACGATACTTCCTGGTGGTTAGAACAGGTACTGGTTGGGGGTGATCCTGTGATCCTGCTGATTGGACAGCAGTTGGTTCTTCAGTCATATTGGAATACGCAGAGCTTTTCTTCAGGATTCCACTTAGAAGGGGTTTCGGTGTGGTGACAATTTCCTCGACAGAAGTGTTGGATGTGGCTGTAGGACACAAGAGAGTGGGCATCTCTTCTTTGGATTTGTCCTTTTCGCACAACGCCAAATCTCCTTTGTTTGGCAAGACGTCACTGTTGGGATCTGTGGAGAGGCTGGCCAGGAACGACTCCGTCGAGACATCTGGAGGTTTGTCTTTCAGAGAGACTGACGGGCCACGGTAAGCCACACCCTCCTCTTCTTTCGCTAACGCGTTGTTGTTAGCGGTAGGCATTTCAGCCAGGCTGGAAGACACAGGCTCCTCTGCTTTGACCAGTTTGGGTTCCCTCTTCTTAATGACAAAACCAGTCTGTCTGTGAGCACCAGCGGTGGGACTCTTAATGGTGGTGGAGCTTCCTGGAGTGGTGGCTGCTCCTCCGTCAGCCTTGGAGGCCTGTGGACCCGGGGGCTCTCGACCGTCATCACCCAGTAGTGGAGGGTTACCTGGGAAAAGAAGGAGCAAGCCGAAACATAAGGTGTGGTTTAAAGACATGTTGCTATTATGAGTTGAAAGAAAAATAAACACAAAAGCTTCAATTGCAAATGGTGTTCAAGTGAGTGCAGGCCTTTTTTGTGTTTCGGTTTACCTGAGAAGTCCGGCAGGGGCAGAAGCTCTCCGCCCCAACTACGCAACACCCCCGGAAGGAAACGTAGTGGTTGGTACCCCTCTTCAGTATCTTCACCTTCAGCTTTCTCAGAGAAGTCTGTACTAGACTGTTCTGCTGTGACCACTTCCTCAGCTGTGTTCAGCAATGGTATCTCTTCTCTGTCCCTTTCTTTTGTACTTGGAGCACACAGAGAGGAGATGTAAGAGTCCTCCTCCTGGGTAACTTCTTGGTCCTTTACGGTGACGGTAGTAGTCGTCGTCTCGGGTTTGCTCTCCGGTATGAACCTGGCCGTTTCGTTGATGTCCACGGGCAGGAAGTCACGTTTAGGCCTCTGGCGGATGATCAGGCCCAGCAGGAGGTTGGGGCGGTTGTTTTCCAGTCCTGTTAAACAGCAACACCGATGAAAAGCAGAGTTAAAAATTGTTGAAGTAAATATAATGAAATCATAAATTAAATACATTAAAACACATTTTATAAATGAAATATTGGTTGGCCACACCCATGTATTATTTAGACAGTCCATTCAGAATAGATTCTTATTTGCAAAGACAACCTAATAACATCAAAGGAAAAGCACAATTAAAAGTAGGCAAAGTAAATGTTTTTAGATAAAGCATCATGATTATCATTGTGAGTGAGTATTGCGCATATTCCATCAAAAAGGTAAATGGGGTCATGAAACATCATGGGTCGGTTTCCCAGACCCAGATTATTAGCTAGAGCAGGGATGGCCAAACCTTTTGGCTCCAGGGCCACACCGGGATTTCCAAATTCAACAGAGGTCTGCACATTTTTTGGGGGGACCAATTGTCAAAATCTATTTGTGGGCCTGAAAAAGGGCAGTTATTTTAAAATATATAAGTACATTATAATTTCTACATACTTTATCTACTTTTAGATGTTAAAGTGTGGCCAGGAGTGTTTAAAATATATATATATTAAAATATATTTTTATTTTTATTTACTCAAACCTCTCGCGGACCGGATTAAATGGGTTTACTAGCCGGACCCATAGTTTGCCCAGCCCTGAGCTAGAAGCTTCATAAAAACGAAATTGTTTTAAGTGAGAAGTAGGCATTGGTCCAAAGCTGAAGAATTAAGAATTCACGAGCACCACAATGCCTACTCCACCCATGCTCTACCAAGGTTTTCCAGCACACAGCTTTGACCTACTACAGTAGCTATGTTGGTCTATTGTACTTCAAACTATGTATATGCAGGTTGCTTGGTATTCAAACCTTCTCAAACAGCCTGGGTGGAGTAGACATTGTGGTGCTCGTGAATTTCCTTTATTTTCGGCTTCAGACCAATGCCTACTACGAGTTGCTCAACCCGGTGCTAGAACGTTAGGCTTCGGCTGAAAAATATGTTAGCATTGTCAGAAATGCTACAAAAAGGTAGCACATCGTTGGTTCTTAAATGGACAGAAATGGGCACGTGAGTGTCTTGGAATGGCCTAGTCAAAGCCCAGACCTCAATCCAATTGAGAATCTGTGGTATAACTTAAAAGATTGCTGTACACCAGCGGAACCCATCCAACTTGAAGGAGCTGGAGCAGTTTTGCCTTGAAGAATGGGCAAAAATCCCAGTAGCTAGATGTGCCAAGCTTATAGAGACATACCCCAAGAGACTTGCAGCTGTAATTGATATGGGGGGGGGTGAATAGTTATGCACGCTCAAGTTCTGTTTTTTTTGTCTTATTTCTTGTTTGTTTAACAATAAAACATATTTTGCATCTTCAAAGTGGTAGGCATGTTGTGTAAATCAAATGATACAAACCCCCCAAAAAAATCAATTTTAATTCCAGGTTGTAAGGCAACAAAATAGGAAAAATGCCAAGGGGGGTGAATACTTTCGCAAGCCACTGTAGTACATCGTTGGTTCTTAAATGGACAGAAATGGGCAGGTGAGAGCGATAAATTATAAAATGTAACACAAACTGCTGCACCTACACTGCCTTCAAAAAGTATTCACACCCCTTTACTTTTTCCACATTTTGTTGTGTTACTGGCGGAGATGTTTTCTTCACTGGCCTACACACAATACCCCATAATGTCAAAGTGGAATTATGTTTTTCAAAATGTTTAGAAATTAATTTAAAATGAAATGTCAACAAGTATTCAACCCCTTTGTTATGGCAAGCCTAAATAAGTTCAGGAGTAAAAATGTACTTAACAAGTCACATTATACGTTGTATGGACTCACTCTGTGTGCAATAATAATGTTTAACATGATTTTTGAATGACTACCTCATCTCTGTACCGCACACATACAATTATATGTAACGTCTCTGTCGAGCAGTGAATTTCAAACAGATTAAACCACAAAGACCAAGGAGGTTTTCCAATGCCTCGTAAAGAAAGGGAACCTATTGGTAGATGAGTTAAGCATGGTGACGTTATTAATTACACTTTGGATGGTGTATCAATACACCCAGTCACTACAAAGATACAAGCGTCCTTCCTAAATCAGTTACTGGAGAGGAAGGAAACCGCTCAGGGATTTCACCATGAGGCCAATGGTGACTTTAAAAAACAGTTACATAGTTTAATGGCTGTGATAGGAGAAAACTAAGGATGGATCAACAACATTGTAGTTACTCCACAATACTAACCTAATTGACAGAGTGAAAAGAAGGAAGCCTGTACAGAATAAAAATATTCCAATACATGCAACAAGGCACTAAAGTAATACTATAAAAAATTTGGCAAAGCAATTAACTTTACATCCTGAATACAAATCCAATACCACACATTACTGAATACCACTCTCCATATTTTCAAGCATAGTGGTGGCTGCATCATGTTATGGGTATGCTTGTAATTGTTAAGGACTGGGGAGTTTTTCAGGATAAAAAAAGAAACGTAATGGAGCTAAGCACAGGCAAAATCCTAGAGGAAAACCTGGTTCAGTCTGTTTCCACAAGACAATGGGAGATGAATTCACCTTTCAGCAGGACAATAACCTAAAACACAAGGCCAAATCTACACTGGAGTTGATTACCAAAAACTTTAAAAGAAGACAGTGAATGTTCCTAAGAGGTCGAGTTACAGTTTTGGCTTAAATCTACTTTAAAATCTCTGGCAAGGCCTGAAAATGGTTCTCTAGCAATGATCAACAACCAATTTGACAGAGCTTGAAACATTTGAAAAGAATAAATGGGCAAATATTGTACAATCCAGGTGTGGAAAGCTCTTAGATTTACCCAGAAAGACTCGCAGCGGTAGTTACTGCCAAAGGTGCTTCTACAAAGTATTGACTCAGGGGTGTAAATACTTATGTAAATGATATATTTCTGTATTTCATTATTAAAAATGTCGAAAAACATGTTTTCATTATGGGGTATTGTGTGTAGATGGATGAGACTAAATATTTTGAATCAATTTTGAAATTCAGGCTGTAACAACAAAATGTGGAATAAGTCAAGGGATATGAACACTTTCTGAAGGCACTGTCCAAACTTAGTCAATCCTAAATTTTTTAAGCCCAACGGTCACTTTATGGACGCTATAGTCTCAATTTAATCCGACGTCTAGAATTTGAACAGCACAAAAATATACTCTAAAAAACGGCATTGCTAACGACCCTGTTAATGATCCGGTATGTGGTTCTCGGTAACGGCCGATGACCAAAGGCGGGGAGTGTGTTGTGTGCCTGCAATCAAGTTGATTTGCACATTTTCATCGACATTGATGTCATATTGAAATTACCATCGAGCCCCCACAATAATTATTGGACTAGAAAGAGCTTTCAACAGAGACTCTATTGAGCGTTTCAGTCTAGGAGTAGGCTTGATCTGGATCTGGGAAACCAGTACCAGATTAACCCAAGATATATTATTTGTTTATTAGGATCTCTTTTAGCCAATGAAAGTATATTATTCCAATATACAGTAAGTAGAGAGAGTTGTTGGTTGTTACCTGGGCCGTCAAAGGGAACCAGTTGGTGTGGGACTTTCTCAATGGCGCCCAAGGGGATGAGATACATGTCTTTGACTTGTTTCAGGTTGTTGGCGACCACGCCGAAGCGTTTACGGCTACTGAAGTAGGCATAGAGCAGAGTGTAGTGGATCTCATCCTCGTCGGTCTCAGGGGAAAAACGAATCAAACACACCTCCTAAAAGAAAAAAGACCCAAATAATGAGGAAGGAAATTCTATTTAACTCAGTTCATTTAATTGTATACATTTTTTTTTAACCTTTATTTAACCAGTGAGTTAAGAACAAATTCTTATTTACAATGACTGACTTAAGTGTCAGGGACCATGTACAATTAAAACAAATCTCAGATGAAATTTGATGCATTGTACCCTTAGACATAGCTATCAGCTAGACAGCTACTATTCATCTCCAGTTCAGGCACAGATTGTCTTGGAAAGATTAATATGTAAATGTATGCATGCATGACTACATAGCTTTGGATAAAAGTGTCTGCTAAATGGAATATTACATTTGTATATCATCATTATACTTGCTCTCTTGGGTCTAGGCCAGGTTACTGTAAAAACTATGACAACTTCTGATGTATAAATTTCAAGCAGGTGAACGTACCTTTGTTCCAGTGGCTCTGATCTTGTCCAAGTAGTCCCATACGATCTGTGGGGAGATCCTCCCACCCACCTGGAAACTCTCCGGCAGATCCTGATAACAGGGATTATCACCATGAGCATTTCATCCAATTATTATTATTATCCGATTTTATTGGGGGGGTGCACCGATGACAACCCTGGGGATAACACACTAAAGCAATTCCACTTGTTTCCAACGTGGTCCCCCATTCAAAGGGTAGGAAGAATGACTCTTTACTCACCAAAGTAACAACACAGTGTAGTCAAAGACTTAGTAACTTAGTTGCAGTAATGATCTGGTTACCTATAACTATAAAACTTTTTTTTTTTAAACATATTTATTAACTTATTCCGGATATCTTCGGAACTACCCACAATGCACTATTTCTCAACGTTTTATGGTAGGACCTACTCTGTGCTACAGAGTTTGTATGCTAGCTCGGTAAGCCACAACTCATGCTCTTCACAGACTTTGTGGCTGTGTTATGAAGAACATGTCAGTGTGTTATCTAGTGGGAACCTGTAAGCACTGCAGGCTCTGGTGCCTTCTTGCCGTGGGCTCAAAACTAAAGAGAAAATCATACCTGCTTGCTCTAATTATGTAACGGTGGTACCTCATCTGTTCGCCTTTTCGGCATGTTCTCTGTGAAGTAGGCTACAGGAGTTTAACTTTTTCCACCTTGGCTTAGTGCTAGCGCGCTAGCTAACTGACATCTGGAATCTATCTATTTGGGATTTTTCTCACTATAGCTATTGGATTTTCCCTGACACTTACCATCATGTAAGTCTCTGCTCTTTTGATCTTCGGTTATGTTCTAACTGGTCTCCAGTAGTTGGGCTCTAACATGCCGACCATAGCCGTGCTGGTTGGCTAGGCTAATAGCTAACGTTTGTTGGCTAAATAGCTAACGTTAGCTGGCTGGTTAGCTTGCTGCCTAAGATAGCTATATGCAGTTAACTCTTTGATATATTTAGTTAGATGGCTTTATGTACATTGCCTTCAGAAAGTATTCACACCCCTTTACTTTCTCCACATGTTGTTACAGCCTGAATTTAAAATGGATTAAATGGACACACACACACACTACCCCATAATGTCAAAGTGGAATTATGTTTTCGGAAATTTTTACAAATGTATTCCAACATCTACTGGTGATTTTACAACAGTTAAGAGTTTAATGGATGTGATAGGAGAAAACTGAGGGTGGATCAACCACACTGTATGCCACAATACTAACCTAATTGACAGAGTAAAAAGGAGGAAGCCTGTACAGAATAAAACATATTCCAAAACATGCATCCTGTTTGCAATAAGGCACTAAAGTAAACCTGCAAAAAATGTGGGAAAGAAATTAACTTTATGTCCTGAATACAAAGCGTTATGTTTGGGGCAAATCCAACACAACACTGAGTGCCACTCTTCATATTTTCAAGCATGGTGGTGGCTGCATCAGGTTATGGGTACGCTTGTCATCGGCAAGGACTAGGGAGTTCTTTAGGATAAAAATAACCGGAATAGAGCTGCTTTCCAACAGTAGGCTGGTAGGGATAATGTTAGCAGGCTAGTTAATTTGTAACAATACATTCATAAAGTATTTGCTTGTAAGTTGGCTGAAAATTACTTTGAAACCAGTGATCATAAGTGCAAACTATTTGGTTTAATTTGAAGTTATATACATTTGAAGTTATTTCTGTTGTAGTTTACATTATAGGGAATAGGCTGGCTTTGCCAGGTTCTCTGTATCACACCCTGGAAAAATATTTTCCCACATGACTTCGGCATTCTGATCGGTTTTATGTAATAACTCCAAAAATAGAAAAGTGAGGTGTAACTTTGCATTGGGATTGCATTCTCGTGCATATACTAATGCAAATCCATATGCTATCTACCCTTCAACTTGATAGTTTGTTGAGTTGTTAATATAAATGGCATTTACAAAAGAAAAGGGCATTCCATAACTAGAAAATCGAAATGCTGTGTTGGTAACACTTTAGCACTTTAATGAATAAGCATTAAGAAGATTTATAAAACAATTAATTATTAAAGTATTTAACGCATTACATTTAATTAAAGCATAAAAAAAAATATATGCATTATACGAATGAATAAACATTTATAAGTGGTTTTACCTCTGTGAGGTGGTCCAGGACTCCTGATACAGGGAAGGCTTTAGTGAGGAGCTTGGCCACAGCAGGCATGTTAACCAGCCCTCTCCATAGTGACTGCAGGTTGGACAGGAAGGAAGCCTCGCCATCTCTGCCACTCATAGACACTGACCTGGAGGCCAGGAATACAAACACAACTTTAGAATAACCCTGCACTTAATTATGGGTTTATTGGTCATTTAATAATATTAATATACATTTTCTAAATACATTCAGAATGGTCGCGTAACTAACTCAACACCGCTTAACTTCAGATGTTATTTTTTTGTATGACAGAATTACATTGATAGCCTTTGTGATTCTATCACAAGGAGGAGAATGATGGAGGACAATATGGCCACTGTGCTAGTGCTTTGCCTGCTCTTTGGGCTGTAGGCCGGGTATACTGGAAAAGCACTAACATCTGCCGACTGACTGGATGGCTGGGTAATTGACCGATTGATCCACGTACCTCCCCTCGTAGTTGGAGAAGACTTTGGCGCTGAGGAGGCTCTCCTCTAGGACTTTGAGGTGAAGGTCGTCGTCCTTAGCAGACGAGGAGGAGGGTGTGTTCTCGGTCTGTCCCTCTGTAGAGGTGGAGGTAGTGGACGGTGTGTTCTTGGTCCCTCCCTCTGTAGAGGTGGAGGTAGTGGACCATCTCCTCACTACAGTAGTGGCCACTTTCACCACTTTGGTAGGAGCCTCCTCCACAGGTGGAGCCATACGACCTTCATGAATTACAATTCCATTAGTCCAATAGAAAACCACTGGTAAGACTTGACTTAAAGCCACAATCCTGGGTTTGTGGGGCTCATTCGCCGTGTTCACCTTTTCTCCCCGTCTAATCTATCTCCCCTCTACTTCCATTCTATCTGATCAAGCATCAACACATAATCTATAGTACTTCCACTATCCTTAAAAACCAAAACCAGAAACGGAAAGAACAGAATCAGAGCCTACCTGTGCAGATCTTGCAGTTGAGGTCAAACAGGTGAGTCTTATGCAGACTGGTTGTATCTTGGAAAATATTGACGCTCTCTGTTGTTGTCGACGTCTTCTTCTCTTGGGGAACTTCCGCTGGCTCCTCTGTCACTTTGGGAGCAGCCACAGGCTCTGGCTGGAAGAGTTCAAACACAACAACAGTGAAGAGTTCATAAGAAATGTATGGACACACTGGGTAAAATGTCAATTGTATTTCCTTGATTCCTCATTGTCCTCTCTGATGCGTGTTAAGGAGGCAAGGAGAGATGAGGGCGTGTTAATTTGAGTAAATACAATTGAGATTCACCCATAAATGATTAAAAAAGGTATGAACTATTTCTTAGGAAGAGAACATGCTCAACTCTAAATCCTCTTGAACCAAAAATCCAGGTGGTCAATAAAGGTGTTAGGAGCATATGCAGTGTGTGGGCCATTCTGTTTATGTGTCCTACGTTTATAAGGATGTGCCTATGACTAAGGCCGTAATACAGTCACCGTAACAGCCCTACCTATGACCACTAACTTTTCTAGAAGCCAAAATATATCACAGAAAAGTGAGAAAAGGCCAGAACTCACTTGAATATGAAGCGGTGTGTTTCTCTACATCAGCTATGTCTTACCTCCGGCTCTGTGGCTTCTGGTGCCTTCCCAGACTCCTGGCTCTCGATCTCTATCTCTCCTTTGTGTGTGATCTTGGTGATGGGTCGCCTCTCCGCCTCTCTCTGCTCCTTCTCAATCATCTCAATCGCCTGGGGGGGGGTGAAAGGTCCTTTATAGTTCAGGTCACACAAACCGTTTTAACTTGTCAACAATAAATCAATATGATTTGGTGTGATATGACTAAGTTTAATTTATAGGGAGGTGTGATCAACCAATGAGGTAAGCTACTCTCATTCTACAATGCCTTTTCTATTAACTGTTTTTAGGGCAGCTTTACCGGACATAGATTAAGCCTCGTCAGGGACTGAAAAGCACACTCAATAGGGAATCTCCACTGAAAGGGTTATTTAGTCCAGAAGTAAACTTAATCTGTCTGGGAAACATGTCCTTAGAGTATTAGTCAAATACTTTGAAGGAGGGCAGGCAGTGTGTTTCAGTGCTGAAGGAGGACAGGCAGTGTGTTTCAGTGTTGAAGGAAGATAGGCAGTGTGTTTGAGTGTTGAAGGCGGGCAGGCAGTGTGTTTGAGTGTTGAAGGCGGGCAGGCAGTGTGTTTGAGTGTTGAAGGAGGGCAGGCAGTGTGTTTCAGTGTTGAAGGAGGGCAGGCAGTGTGTTTCAGTGTTGAAGGATGGCAGGCAGTGTGTTTCAGTGTTGAAGGAGGGCAGGCAGTGTGTTTCAGTGTTGAAGGATGGCAGGCAGTGTATTTCAGTGTTGAAGGAGGGCAGGCAGTGTGTTTGAGTGTTGAAGGAGGGCAGACAGTGTGTTTCCGTGTTGAAGGAAGACAGGCAGTGTGTTTCAGTGTTGAAGGAGGACAGGCAGTGTGTTTCAGTGTTGAAGGAGGACAGGCAGTGTGTTTCAGTGTTGAAGGAGGACAGGCAGTGTGTTTCAGTGTTGAAGGCGGGCAGGCAGTGTGTTTGAGTGTTGAAGGAGGGCAGGCAGTGTGTTTCAGTGTTGAAGGAGGGCAGGCAGTGTGTTTCAGTGTTGAAGGAGGGCAGGCAGTGTGTTTGAGTGTTGAAGGAGGGCAGGCAGTGTGTTTGAGTGTTGAAGGAGGGCAGGCAGTGTGTTTGAGTGTTGAAGGAAGACAGGCAGTGTGTTTCAGTGTTGAAGGAGGACAGGCAGTGTGTTTCAGTGTTGAAGGAGGACAGGCAGTGTGTTTCAGTGTTGAAGGAGGACAGGCAGTGTGTTTCAGTGTTGAAGGAGACAGGCAGTGTTTCAGTTTGAGCAGCAGGTGTTGAGTGTTGAAGGAGGCAGGCAGTGTGTTTCAGTGTTGAAGGAGGACAGGCAGTGTGTTTCAGTGTTGAAGGAGGACAGGCAGTGTGTTTCAGTGTTGAAGGAGGACAGGCAGTGTGTTTCAGTGTTGAAGGAGGACAGGCAGTGTGTTTCAGTGTTGAAGGAGGACAGGCAGTGTGTTTCAGTGTTGAAGGAGGACAGGCAGTGTGTTTCAGTGTTGAAGAAGGACAGGCAGTGTGTTTCAGTGTTGAAGGAGGACAGGCAGTGTGTTTCAGTGTTGAAGGAGGACAGGCAGTGTGTTTCCGTGTTGAAGGAGGACAGGCCGTGTTTCAGTGTTGAAGAATGGACAGGCAGTGTGTTTCAGTGTTGAAGGAGGACAGGCCGTGTTTCAGTGTTGAAGAAGGACAGGCAGTGTGTTTCAGTGTTGAAGGAGGACAGGCAGTGTGTTTCAGTGTTGAAGGAGGACAGGCAGTGTGTTTCAGTGTTGAAGGAGGACAGGCAGTGTGTTTCAGTGTTGCTTACGTGGCGATTCTCTCTTTGTCTCCATGCAGCCAGTTCCTTTGAGGCTAGTTCCTCGGGACTCATCCTTATCAAAGTGCCAGGAGAAATCTCTCCTTTCAGGACCCTCTTGAATAACACCTGAAATACACAAGTTATAAAGTCATTTATACCCAAGTTATAGTACCGGAGCTTGATATCTAGGTGAACTGATATCAAAATGTATTTTACATTATGTTTGCGTTTTATACGTTTCATGTAGTTAACGTTCAAGCGTATCTCATTTCAAGACCAAGTACCTACTACAAGCTGTGAGAAAATCCAGTATAACATCCATACAATTGTGAGTAGTCAAAAAAATTCAAAATTCAAGAGAATTCCTTGCATAAAAATTGTTAACATAACTTACATTGTTTTTGGTGTCTTTGAGGTTGAACATCAAGCTCCGGTACTTGCTCTTGTATTTGCAGTCTGTGTCTCTGTAGAACGCAAACAGCTCTCTCTCAGTCTTCTTAGCCACCTCAGCAGCCTTCTCTGGTGACGCCTGGAAATCAGACTCCTTCAGCCTGAGACAACGTAGGGCACAATAGAGGATTACACAGGATCACCACCATTCTCTACGGCAAGTATGTGGACACCCCTTCAAATTAGTGGATTTGGCTATTTCAGCCAAACCTGTTTCTGACAGGTGTTTAAAATCAAGCACACAAATTTCTGCCCTGCTAGAGCTGCCCTGGTCAACTGTAAGTGCTGTTATTGTGAAGTGGAAACGTCTAGGAGCAACAATGGCTCAGCGGCGAAGTGGTAGACCACACAAGCTCACAGAACGGGACCGCCGAGTGCTGAAGCGCGTAAAAATCGTCTGTCCTCGGATGCAACACTCAATACCAAGTTCCAAACTGCCTCTGGAAGCAATGTCAGCACAATAACTGTTCGTCGGGAGCTTCATGAAATGGGTTTCCATGGCCGAGCAGCCACACCCAAGCTTAAGATTACCACGCACAATGCCAAGCGTCGGCTGGAGTGGTGTAAAGTTCGCCACCATTGGACTCTGGAGCAGTGGAAACGCGTTCTCTGGAGTGATGAATCACGCTTCACCATCTGGTAGTCCGACAGAAGAATCTGGGTTTGGCGGATGCCAGAAGAACACTACCTGCCTCAATGCATAGTGCCAACTGTACAGTTTGGTGGAGGAGGAATAATGGTCTGGGGCTGTTTTTCATGGTTCAGGCTAGGCCCCTTAGTTCCAGTGAATGGAAATCTTAACGCTACAGCATACAATGACATTCTAGACAATTCTGTGCTTCCAACTTTGTGGCAAAAGTTTGGGGAAGGCCCTTTCCTGTTTCAGCATGACAATGCCCCATGCACAAAGCGAGGTCCATACAGAAATGGTTGGTCGAGATCGTGTGGTAGGATTTGACTGGCCAGCACAGAGCCCTGACCTCAACCTCATCGAACACCTTTGGGATGAATTGGAACGCTGACTGCGAGCCAGGCCTAATCGCCCAACATCAGTGCCCGACCTCACTAAAGCTCTTGTGGCTGAATGGAAGCAAGTCCCCGCAGCAATGTTCCAACATCTAGTGGAAAGCCTTCCCAGAAGAGTGGAGGCTGTTATAGCAGTAAAAGGGGGAACCAACTCTATATTAATGCCCATGATTTTGGAATGAGATGTTTAACGAGCAGGTGTCCACATACTTTTGGCCATGTAGTGCATCATCCAACTGTTATAATGGTTATTAGACTAAACAGATTCCATCTGACTGTTATGTGTTTATAATGTTATGCTACTGTTATAGCATGTTTAATTACCTCTTCAGGAGGATGTCCTTCAGGGTAAGGGTTATGCTACTGTTATAACATGTTTAATTACCTCTTCAGGAGGATGTCCTTCAGGGTAAGGGTTATGTTACTGTTATAGCATGTTTAATTACCTCTTCAGGAGGATGTCCTTCAGGGCGTCACGGACGCTCCGTCTGATGTGGTCAACAGACACGGGTTTCTTAGAGGAGGAAGACGACACCTTGGGCCTCTTGGTCTCCTGTTTGACTGCCACTCCTAACGGGACACAGCCACAGACAGTAGGAGACATCGCAGAGTAGGGCATGTTCATTAGGGCACCTTGTAGTAAAACATTTTGGAAAACGAAAACAAGCGTTTCTTATTGGACAAATTCAGATTCACCCTCCTGGTTTTGGCGTCCATTAACATCCCCTCCCCCTTTTCCAGTTTCATGCCTATTGAACCCGACTCCTGTGAGGGACATGGACAGCAGAACGTAGAGGCACACTACACAACAACAGTAAAACACACCTGATTTCTGCGTTGAATCTTTGACTTCAGTTGACTGCCTTCTTTCCACAGAGTCCTATGTTACGGAGTGAGACACAGACGCAGAATATCTCCTCAGTGAGACTAAAAAAATAATCTTAGAAAGTCAATAGTACATTAAAATGTTTGTTTTTCTTGGTGGGCAGGGGGGTTGTGCATGATGGTACTGAAAACATAAGGACATTTAAAATGGTGGTTAAGACAGATGTTGAATAGAATCACCATGGTAACCTAACACCCTTCCTTCCATGTGTACCCATGCAGGGAAGAGGACAACCAGCCCTTGAGTAGTGCCAACACTGGCTTTCATACATATCAGCTGAATAAGCTGAAGAGGACAACATCTGCATCACTACATTTCATCAATGGTAGGGCTTGTTGAAGATAATGTTACTAAAACATTTATTGGGTGTTAAATGTAAGATTTTGACAACAGATAATATGCATATAAAGGTTTATCATCAAATCTCTTCTCATAGGATTTAATATCATAAATATGCACTGACCCGATGGTAATCCATTATGTTACAGCTCCATTTAAGATTATTATAATATTCTTATCCGTTCTTCAGGCCTACATTAAATGTACAAAAATATATATTTAAAGCATTCAATGCAGACTACTAGCAGGGTGAACCTTACCTTTCTGAAGGGCCTGACTCCCCCGGAGGTGACAGGATGTGGGGACGGCTGTTTCTGCTTGGCGGCCATCTTGTTGTCCTGGGTCTCAGAGGGCTTCTGCTGTCCCTCTGTCCTGGCCTCCCCCTGCACAGCACCACCTGGCTCCTAATGAGGAGAAGAAGAAGATAAATAACATTAAAATGTTATTATTAATATATATCTATATTATTTTAGTCCTTTCAGGACACCATACATTAAAAATACATTAAAATCAAAGCGCAAGTTAAAATAAACTTTGAGCTAGTGCAACTTAAAATCAATTCACAGACCTTGCAGCACTTCAGAGAAATATACTCCCTTCTCCATTAAAAAGTCCATTAAAATCTAAACCCACAGACCTTGGTGTTGGTGTACTGGTGCTTGGCGCAGCACTTCAGACAGATATACTCCTGGTCCTCCTCCTCCATCTGCTTCACCTTGGCCAGGTCCAGACCCGCACAGTCCCCATGGAACCAGTCATCACAGTGCCCACAGCCCACCATGAACCTGAACAGAACAAAAACCCACAAAACAAACCTATGTTTAGAAGAACACGAGCTCACTTCCCAGGGAATATTCTACATGTTCCATTGTTGTAATTTAGCCTAAGATGTAACAACTTAGTAATAACAGGTTTACAATGTTGCATAAGTACTACATTTTCTATTCAACTCTCATCACTTTGGTATGCAAAGAACACTAGTCTTACTTGTTACTATGAGGTTTCTTGCACAACCCACAGTTCTTGTTTGGATCCCACACAACGGTCTCGCTGTTTGCGGGTTCCTTCTCTGGTCCCTTCCCGGATTCTTTAGCCTGTTCTTCCTCGCTGGTTTCCTTCTTCACGACGGCAGGAGCGTTGTCGGGGATGAAGAGCTGTGGTTCCTCCACGGAGATGCTTCTGCTGACGTTCCTGCTTCTCTGTTTCTGAAGAGACTTGTCTGGCTTCTTCACTTTAGGTTCGTCTTCCTCCTCCTCCTCCGATGTCTCCTTCTGAGGATTGGCAGGTTTACATGGTGTCCATCCAAACTGGGGTTGTGGTTGGGCTTCGGCCACGTGAGCGTTGGACGGTTTGGTTGTAGTCGTCGTCCCTTGCGACATACCAGGAGGACGCTTTCCAGACGGCAGTGTTTTTTTGACCGGACCGCCGCGACCCATGTCAGGTAATCTCTGCTTTAGTTTCACAGGACGTCCGTCTTGCGTCCTCTGAATCTTAGGGCCGGGTTGAGCTGGGTTAAATTCACCTGGCCTTTTCAAGGACATGATGACTTGCTTGGCTTTCATTTCGTCCATATTGTACATTTTGCCTCTCTGATGGAGCTTCTTCCCCAGGGCGTGTTGTTGGGTTCCTTTGGGCCCCTTACCTATGCTGCTTGGTCGACCAGCTACCAGGTGCTTGTTCTTAGCAGAGGACAGTGCTGACAGCTTCGGCTTGGGCTGCTGCTCTTTGGCTGGATTATTAGCGGTAGGAACTTTGCTGTTTGGCAGGTGCTGCCGCGCTGCCTTCTTGCTACTGGCATCTTTCCTCACCCCCGCTGGATCATGCTTCTGAGAATCGCTTTGGTCGTCGAGTTTGGTCTCGGCCGAGCAAGAATCTCCTAGAAGCGCCCCGTTGGAGGCCTGAACGTCATTGGGGTTCACGTAAGGTCCTAGCCCTAGGGGCAAGTCGTCAGCACAGTACTTCACCAAGAGCTGAGCAGCACCCACACCCCCTCCACTCCCTGGCGTGGGATTCTGTATGTGTAACGGTTCCTCTTGCACCATCGTGTATTCCATCCCCTCACCGTACAGCGAACCATCCTCATAGCAGGCGTCAGTGTTTTCAGTTGATGTGAAAGCAGTAAAAGAGGGTCCCGGGAGAAGCTCGATTTTGAAACCCCCGAAAGTGACCGTCAACCTCTGTAACACGACGACGGGGTTCATCGACGATCCCAAGTCAAGGTGGTTGATATTCACCCTGCCGCCACCCAGGTAAAGCTCTCTCCTTAACTCGTCAGCAGTAGTTATCTTCTCACTCAGAGTGGACTTCTTTCTAGGTCTCCCAGGTTTTCCCGGGGGCTTTTTGTTGTTGGAAGACCCTCTGCCAGCACTTCGCTCTGGAATGTAAAAGATGGAAACTGGAGCGTCACGCACTGACGATTCTCATTTGACAATATAAACGAAGCAATACGGCTGACAAAGTTAATTTAAAACTATGCACCACAACAATCCAGTCCTATATACATAAAGTCCTCTCCCCACCAGAGACCAAGGTTCAATCCCTGCTCTAACCCTTCACTGTTTCTCCCACCTGGCTGTCTCCCCGCTCCAACCCTTCAAACTGTTTCTCCCACCTGCCCGTCTCCCCGCTCCAACCCTTCAAACTGTTTCTCCCACCTGCCTGTCTCCCCGCTCCAACCCTTAAAATTGTTTCTCCCACCTTGCTGTCTCCCCGCTCCAACCCTTTACTGTTTCTCCCACCTGCCTGTCTCCCCGCTCCAACCCTTCAAATTGTTTCTCCCACCTGGCTGTCTCCCCGCTCCAACCCTTCACTGTTTCTCCCACCTGCCTCCCCATTCCCACCCTTTACTGTTTCTCCCACCTGCCTGTAAATTTTTTAAATGTTTTGTCATTTAGCAGACGCTCTTATCCTTATTACAGTTAGTGCATACATTATTTTTTATACTGGCCCCCCGTGGGAATCGAACCCACAACCCTGGCGTTGCAAACACCATGCTCTACCAACTGAGCTACATTCCTACCGGCCATTCCCTCCCCTACCCTGGACGACGCTGGACCAATTGTGCGCCGCCCCATGGGTCTCCCGGTCGCGGCCGGCTACAACAGAGCCTGGATACGAACCAGGATCTCTAGTGGCACAGCTAGCACTGCGATGCAGTGCCTTAGACCACTGCGCCACTCGGGAGGTAGTCTCCTGTCTCCCCACTCTGCCTGTCACGTCATAACCGTGCAAAAAAAAATATATATATATATATACACTCTCCTTTAAAAAACAAAAAACAAATGTAAAACGGAAATGTTGTTAACCTGGCGTAACTCCTAATGCGTATTTCCTGGGTCTGCCAACAGACCGTTTGACTTGCGGAGTCTCTGTACCAGCCAACCCACCACCAGGGGTACCGAGGATACCCTCTGTTGCACCAACATCAATATCTGCAACTACAGGGGGAGAGGAGAAGATGAGAGATTACATAATAACTTCGATTTATTTTAGAAGCATTAACAAAACATCAGTTGTTACAAATTGTGGTTTCTTTAAACACGGTCTTACAAAATAATTATATCTAGACTACAAATACCTGTTGCTCCGGCGATCTGGAAGTTGGCGTCTTCATTATCTAAGATATTGAAGTGTGAACTTGCAGATCCAAACATGGGATCTTTATCACTTAGCATGTTCCTCAGTGAGTCTCCCAGTTGGTCGACACCTGTTCCAAAGTCATTACTTGCTTCACATTCCAAGTTCTGGCCTATCAGTAAGGAGTCATCCAACTGGTCACTTGGAATCAAATGGTTGAAAGTGTCCACTACATCCATGAATGCTGTTCTCTTCCTGTCAGCTCTGCAGGAATAAGAGGATAGGATATTAATAACATAGGCTACAGTACAGACAACAGAGATGGTTCAGATTCAGAACAATCTATTTCAATCTTCAGTCACTCCATAACAAATAGGCCTCCCTAGACAGAGACAGACAGGAGTCAACAGCCATGTAGGAAAGATAGCTAGTACATTCACTTTCATTACATTTCTAAAAACAGTTCCTGTGCAGCAACTGCAAAATTGACTAGCTAAAGTTAGCTATCATTATTCAATAACAATCCATGGTGGATGACACTGGACATGTGTTGGACATTTAGTGCAGACAAGAGTAGCTGAAAGAGTAGATAGCTACTGAATACGCAATAGCTAATGGGGATCCTAATAAACGAAAAAATATTTAAGGAGAACGTCAGTTAGTTAGGCTACCTTGCTAAATTATATGACGTTGCTAGCTAGGTAGCTAGCAAATTAAAGAGAAATTAGCTAATACTTACTGTCAGGACTGACAGCTCCAGATAACTTCATTACAGGACTGCAAACACAATGTGTTTAGCTCCGTTTATGATACCTAGAAAGAGTCTAAAAACACAACTTTCATCAGAGTGGCAGGAATCAGATGCAGACAGGTGCACTAGCTAGTCAGTTAAAGATAGGCTAGGGGTCGTTAGCAGCTAGCTACTTCCAGTTAGCATAACAATCCAGCAATGCAGCTAACTAGCATACTTTAGCGTAACTTACTGAGGGCGAGGATATACATGCATGCATTTGCGCCAAAACTACTTTATCTTTATGATTAGCTTGTTGATGTTAGCAATGGATGCATATGTGCCATATGCAAGGTTGCATTCGTTGCAAAGTTAGCTAGGCAACTCCTGTAACTGCAGCTAAACATATTGGCTAACCAGTTACTGTAGCTAGCTAACTTAGTTAGCTGACAAACAAGCTCGTGCAGGCCTGACTGTGACAGCGACATGATAAGCTTTACTTAAAAGCACCATTCCCATAACGAAGTACTTAGCTACTTAGTTGTACAACCACAGAATACATGTAGCTAGTTAAGCATGCTCAACACAAATCATAGCCTGTAGAAATAGACTCGTTCAAAAATAAATAGGGAAGCTAACAATGTTACATGTTAGTTAGTTGGCTATCCAGCGGCGAGGAACATGATAGGCCGCGAGTTTGTTTGTAGCCTGCAGCAAGATAGCAAATTCAGCACTGATCACGCCCCCCAATTCGTCTCATTGGACGCCTCCACTGAGGACGTTTCAATATTCACAGCGACAGAAACGTATAATGGCATTTACATTTCTCTGCGGTGTCAACGCCAGTGCATTCCCGAGCGATTCTAGTAGCTTTACACACTAGACTTCCTCGCTACGCACCGCCGCCATTCTCCCCTGCAAAGCTACTCCAAAGATGGTTATAAGTAACCCAAGATAGACCGCAGCCTGTCGTTTCCAATGGGAACAAATGAGTCATAGTGGGCAGAGCCAAGAACGAGCTAGCGAGATCCAATTGGCTCGTTGTAGCACACATTTCCATATTTCCGTTAGAGAACCCCTACTCTGTGAAGTGCGCGTGTGCAAAAGCTAAATTCGCCCTTGCACTCCTTCTAAACAACGCAATTTGTAGAAACTTTGACAAAGGGTAAAGTCTACTTAACTTAGTCTACTCTGTTCGTAACAGATTCTAGTTTTGGGAACAGAAAACTGTATTGAGATCAAATGTTTCATCGATGAGAACATTTGCAGAATATCGGCCAAAATCCATCTTCTCCCACTGCCGGCTACTGAGCTTCCTCTCACCACCATAGTTGGTAGTGAGTGGAAACGCCAATCGGATGCTTCACATTTATACATCTGGTGAAATATCTGTCTCATTGTTATTTTCGTGGCTACTCCGGCAAGCGACGTTAGTGTCACGTGCCTCGTGTTTACAATGGCCCACGCAACTGGCGTCAACATTGCGTGGTGTACAGAGTACAGTGTGGATCACCAATCAATCAATCAAGCAACAAAGCACTTTTTACATCAGCAGGGAGGACTTTTACCGTTGCCTAACCCCAGTACTCCAAATAGCAGGCAGAAGCACAGAGGCAGAGAGGAGCCAGGCTCAGAGGGGAGGCCCACCAGTGGTCATGACAGAACTAGAATTACAACTAATTCTATGAGACCCACCCTCTTCCGGCTGCAGTGGGAAATGCTCAGTAACTAGGCTCTCTTGTAGGCTAAATTCAGTGAGTTTGTAAAGGGAACTGCATTTGACAGATTGCTGCTTGCTTATCAATCTGCCCCAATAGCCATGGCATATTGCTGCATCATTATATCTGTCTCAATAGCCCCAAATGCAGTGTAAGCTATATTAGGCAGTGCTGTACAGAAAGATATACCTACCTTTCATACAATGAGAGGATCTCCACTCAAGGGCACCCTAGGCAAGGAAATTGTTTTGTGGGCGAAGCAAAGTAACGTGACCTTAGCATATTGTTGCGTCAAAAGACAGGTATTCATATTCAAGGCATTCACATTTTCAACTTATTTCATAGATAAAACACCAGCAGGGGGCGAAAAAGTGTATGCATTGTGGAACCTATCATTAGCTTGTGTTTCCCTGGGGAATATATATATATACTGGTGCACCTTTGTGATAGCAGGTGGTGAAATGTTTGGTGAAAAAGTATTTAACTAGAATTCCTTCATGGAAGAGGAGACTCTCATTCATACACATTCAGCTCATTTAGGATTCTGGAGACTCAACCAGTAGGCACATGGACATTGTTGTATACAATTGTTGCCAGTTAGGTGTTTATTTGTGTTGAGAATTGAGACCAATTGTCTAATTTAGTATATATAGTATAATTTAGATAATATGACCACATTGAGATTATATATTTAATTTGAAATGACCTTACTTGAAGTAATATATATTTATTTTTGTGTTTTGCCTTTAAAGGTTATCAACCTAACTGACTAACTAACTAACTAACTAACTAACGAACTGGAATTAAATAAAAGAAGTCCGAAGAAAATTGAGTTGTCCCTTGCGTCCTTCAGTCCTTAAAGAAGCCTTTTTCAAGTTTGGGCAAAGAGCTGCAGTGTGAACCATACACAACTTGACAGTTGATAACCGGCGTGGCAGTGAAGACAAAAGGATTAACGGCCTGAAGTCAGGAAAGCTGTCGTCGCAGAGAGGAGTATTGACTGACATCTCAACATGGCGGAGGAAGCTCTTGGAATAACAGTGAAGGAGCTGAAGCAAAAAAGAACTTTAGCTAAAAGCACTTTTACCAAGCAGGCAAACTTCCTCAGCAGAGGCGCAAAGCACATGACTAAAAGAGAACTACAAGAGGAGTTCAAGAAGCTCAAGTCGGAGGCGAGGACGGTCAGTGAGACAAATGACGAATACAGGGTTGGCCTTCTGGCAGACATTGAAGCTGGAACCGATGAGGGTGAAGAAGCTGAACTGAGCAAGGAGCAGCAGACTGAACTTGAGAAGATGTTCCAAGAATGCGAAGCACGATTGGATGAGGTCAGGGAGATGGTCCAGTCCAATCTATGGCCTAGATACGGCGAGAATGAGGTGAAGTCTGCAATCCATGAAGACGAGACAGCCTGTGATGGAGTTGCTCAGATACCTGTTACCACTGTAAACAGAGATGGCTTTGAGCTACGGTGGGATAGTGCGAAAACACAAGTCCAAAATGCAATCGCAAGCCTAGCAGAGTGGGAGATGTGGATTCCAGTGGCAGAAAAGGAAAGGCTGGGAGGCAGAGTGGAGGGTCTGAAGGCATTCGGCAACAACCTTGAAGCAAGGAGGGCAGGATTTCTCACAGCACAAAGAATTGCAGAAGAGGAGAGAGACAGAGGGAGAGTGCCGCAGGTGCCCATGCCAGCTCCACAACCGACACTGAGGATAAAGCCAATCTGTCTACCCAGGTTCAGTGGGTATAAAAGGAATTTCCATCGATGGAGAAGAGACTGGGAGAGTCTGCAAAAGCAGGGGGAACCAACAGGCTCAGTCGAAGTAAAGAAGATCCAACTCATTGACAGTATAGATGAGAGGATATGCAGAGACCTCCGTTTGTCTTCTCACAACACTGCTGAGGACATGTTCAGGGTGCTGGAGAACAGGTATGGAAACAAGTCTACAGTTGCCTTGGAGATAATGGAGGATCTGGAGAACAGGTATGGAAACAAGTCTACAGTTGCCTCGGAGATAATGGAGGATCTGGAGAAAATTCCTGCTTTAAGGGCAAATCAGCCTAGGAAAGTTATCGACATGATCCAAACTATAGAGAAGGCCCTGGGTGACCTCACGGAGCTTGGAAACACAGGAGCCATCAACAACCCTCTAGTGATCAGATCCATAGAAAGCAAGTTACCTGACAACATCAAGAGAGATTGGCTTGTCTTCATGGTTAATCCGAGGAATAATGTCACACCAGACAATCACTTTGAGAACCTTCTTAAATTCCTGAAAACACAAGAGGAAATTCTTGAAAAACTGGAGCAGCTGGGAATGAGTGAAAGGCCAGAAAATAAAAATGCTTGCATGGAGAGGAAATATGCGTCCACGCGGTCCACAACGAAAGGTGGCTGTGTTGTGTGTGTGTGTGTGTGTGTGTGTGTGGAGATGAAAAGCACAGAGAAAATATATTATTTTGCAAGCGTTTCAAAGAACTGAAGCCGGTGGAAAAGTTGGCTGCTGTAGAAAAGCTGGGGGCCTGCAAGAGGTGCTTGGTCTGTCATGGAGAAGATGATGAATGCAAAGAGACATACCTGTGCAGGAACAGAAACTGTAAAAAAAGACCACAATTTCTTTCTATGCCTGAAGGGAGACTTCAAGAGGAGTGACTCAGAAAGAAGACAATTCAATGTGAGAAGGCATAAGTGGACTGAGGAGCAGGAGGAACTTGTATCTAAACTCTCCCCAGAGATGGTGGACAAATTCAAGAGAGCGTTCACCAACATCACCGCAAAGACAAACTGTGTTGAAAAGATCCAGCTTGGAGAGATTGTGTCAAGTGCAGTAGAATAATTGCCAGTTATTCTAATGCTGCTCGAGGTAACTGCCAATGCAGGACAAAAAATTGGAACCCTGATCGACTTGGCATCGGACACAAATTATATCACCCACAGAGCTGCCAGGAGATTAAATCTTCGAAGTGAAAACATCACTTTAGTCGTCCATGGAGTTGGGGGAATGGCCATGAAGGTTGAAACCAGAAGATATCTCCTCAGAGTGAGGGTCAAAATGCCTAGAGGCACAGAAAGAGCCCATGAGCTTGTCTGCTATGGTTTGAATGAAATTGCCAACATCCACAGAGTCATCAAACCTGAGCAACTCAAGAAGTTCTTCCCAGAAGTCAATCTAGGAGATCTGAGGAGACCGGAGAGCATTGAGCTACTGATAAGCCACCGCGAAGGAAGACTTGCTCCGCAACGAGTGAAGGTGATTGGAGACCTTGTCTTATGGGAGAGCCCGCTGGGAAAGACTGTTGGTGGAGCACATCCAGATCTGTTTGAAGAAGTCGATATGGACGCACACAGGTCTGGAACGCTCTTTGCGCGATCCATGAGAGCAACCGCTGTCAAGTATCAAGAGAGAACTAAAACACAAGAGTTCACAGCTGAAACCAAAAGCACAGTTGCTCGCAGAGAGTTCTTGGGTTGGTGGAAATGGGATAGCATTGGAGCAGCTTGTGAACCGAAGTGTGGAGGATGCCGGTGCGGCAATTGTCAAACAGGAGGCAAGGAAATGATTCTGAGTGAGGAAAGAGAGCTGGAGATCAGAAGGAAAGGCCTCACCTACATCAAAGCAGATGCTCACAGCGATGAACCGCACTGGGACACAAAATACCCCTGGATTCAAGATCCAAGTTCCCTTCCCTACAACAGGAGTGGGGTTGAAGCCACCTTAAGAACAGAAAAACAACTCAAAAAAGAGCCAGAGTGGAAAATAGCATACACAGCTCAAGTGCATGAAATGGTGGAGAGAAGAGCAGCAAAGAAACTCACCAAAGAGATGATCGCCAGCTGGAAAGGACCAGTATGGTATGTCAGCCACTTGGTGGCGCCAAACCCACACTCTGTCACAACACCTGTGCGACTGGTATGGAACAGCAGCCAGAAGTTTAGAGGGGTCAGCATGAATGACCTGCTGCTGAAAGGGCCTGATGTCCTCAATCCCATCTGAGCAGTACTACTCAGGTTCAGAAGAGGTGTCCATGCTGCTCTTGGCGACATCAGGAATATGTACAATTCGGTGTGGTTAGAAAACCTGGAGATGCATCTCCACAGATTTCTCTGGAGAAAC